AGTTCACCGGTTCTTGTAGACCTAGGCATAAACAATCAAATAACAATAACCAATTTCCCGGACAACGCCGCCAAAACTTGGTGGGATGTCAAGTCCACCAAACAAATTACACCCTTTGTTTGCAAATAAAACGTAATATAATGGTAAAAAGGGGTATCGATCCTCGGGGAAATGGTTGTATTCAATCACCAATGCAATCCAATATAACTAGTGTAAATAAACTAACTAACTACAATTAAACTAAGGGGGGGGGGGTGTTATGATTGCTTGAAAACTAAAAGACTTGAATAACTAGAAAACTTGCAATTAAGCAAGATGATGAGATGCTCAAATATTGGAGAGAATTGGTAAACCAAGGCAATTCAACACAATGAACATTTATGTGTTTATCATTAGGATTTAATATGAAACGTATCATTCATCCCAAATTGGTTATAGCAATCATGAAGCATGATATGCCAGGATTCCTCATAAGTTGTATGGAGGTTGGGGAAGCCCACAACACACCTTCTTAATCAAAATCAAAGATCTAATTGAAGCAATTGAACCCAAGAAGTTGATTAGCCTTAAGAATGAAGGAATACCCAATTCCTAGATGATGTCAATGCTTACACATCCATAAAGGAGTTATGATTCATAAGCTAGAGATGATTTCTACCATCATAAAGCCCTTGTTCTAAGTAAATTCAATGATTCAGTGCTAAACCAAAGAAATAAACCAACAATTGCTTATTAAAGTACCAAGCTCATGATCAAAGCATTAAACAAGCATAGGAAATATGAACTAGAATCATAGACATAAGATAAATGATAAATAAGCATAAATCCTTCAAAAACCCACAAACATACAAAGGTTTTAGCCAAGGTCTACCAAAATAGAGAATTTGGCCACTCATGGCAATAGAATAACAATCACAAAAGTCTAATTGCATTAAGAAACTAACAATTACTTTGGAAGATAAGAAGAATGTGTATCCAAGCTCCCAAAATCACCTCCTCTGGTCTCTAATGGTGGAAAATCTAAGTGATAGCTAAAAGATCTAACCCCCAAGATAAATGGCAAGCCAAATGACCAAAATGCCCAAAACTGGGCAGTTGCGCGGGTACCCGCGTACGTGAGAATCCACCCGCACAAATATTGTTGGAATGCTATTGGCTTATTTTTCCTCCACTAACCATTCCACTACCAAAGATTCCCTTGGTCCCCTCCATATCCCACATGATTCAAATTAACCAATCTTTTAGCTTCAAATATGGATGCTCCAAGCCCAAAATAACAATCCATGACCCATATTCACAAGCCCACTTCATCCAAGTCTTTATCTTTTTAAGCCCAAATCTCCTTTAATGGATCCGCAAAGCCCAATAATGCCTCGAAAGCCCACAAAGCCCAACTCCATTCAAACTGCAACCACAATGAGCTCCAAAACCATACAAGATTTCTCATGCAAAATAGAAAGTCCCCAATACGATCCATGATAAAGAAAAATAAAGAATATACAATACATTACTAATAAAAAGAGCTAAAAATACTAAAATAAACTAATAAAAATAAGGAAATAAAATAAGCTATCAGTTATTTGATATACTCTGATTGTTTATGTTTTTCATGATGTTTGTTTTGGATGATGGTTTCATTAATTTAAAAATCGAAATTTTTAGTCTTAATGTTTGGGACATTACATACTCCCATTGCAACCAAGGTATTTTTCGGGCCAAGTGAGGGTTTGGACGATCTAGAAGAATTGCTTATTGTTGTATCATCGGAAACAAACCCATATAAAGCGAATTTGTTTTAAGGAAATTGTGTCAAACACAAATATCAACAACAATATACTGTTTGTTCTTTCATGTAGATCATAAGGTTTATATTGCTCCTAATAGTCTTAAAAACAAATTCATTTGTACAAAACAAACAATTGAATATATATATATATATATATATATATATATATATATATATATATATACATTGTCTTCTGTTTACAATTCTTACAGAAATGATTCCCCCTCCCTCCCCCCTCCCCCCCTCCGCCTTCTTTCACTATTGCAGAACCGTTTTCAAAAATTATCTTCTAAAACAACTTTCTGATTCAAGTCTATAAATGGGAAATTCCAAAAGAAAGGCAAAAACTTAGGAGTCAAAAGGTGGAACTTTCAAGAAGAAGTTTCAAAGGTAACTGCCACAACTGTGATCGACCTGGTCATCGGGCTGCTAATTGTAACCTTTCGAAGCAATAAAAAAGCAAAGGAAGCAAACACTGTGGAGAAGATAACCAAATACGTATCTGACATCGATCTTGCAAAAATGATGTGTATGTGGGTAAGGGGTATGCTGATAGGGGTATGTTCTAAAAATTTTATAAAAGTTCAATCATAGTTAAACTTATAAAATAATAAAACATGATAAAGTTTTAAAAAAGATTTATAGAAGTTCAATTATATGATGGTGCACTTTCTTCGTTCGAATATCTTTTAAAATAATTACAAAAAACTAGGGTTGTAATCGAATCAAACGAAAATGAACGGATGTTTGTTCATGTTCGTTCGTTTAAGTTAGCCGCACAAATGAACGAACATGAACAGATAAACGAACATGTTTTCTTGTTCATGTTTGTCCGTTTAACAAATTACATTGTTTACGTTCGTGAACATGTTAAACAAACATAAACGAACGAACATAAATGAACATATAATATCGTAATGTAATCAAACATAATTAAGCATATATAAACATAATAGAAACTTATATGAACGAACATAAAGGGACAACATAAACGAACGTTCACGAACATAATTAAATGAAATAGACCATTGTTCATGTCCGTTCGTTTAACTAAACGAACGAGAATTTTTGTTCATGTTCATTTATTTATTAAATACTAGTTGTGAGACCCATGTATTAAATGAATTAATTTAAATAAATAAATAAATATAAAAGTTAAAATATTTGAGAACTTTGAATTTTGAAAAAAATAAGAAAAATAATGAATTATTATAATTGGAATATTTTTTATCTTTTAAATTAAAAAAGATAATTTAAATAAATAAACAAAAGAAACTGATGAACTTTAATTTGAAAATTTTGAAATTAAAAGATAAATTGATATCTATTTATTACTATATTTATTGCAATTATTATATTAAAATATTATGTGGATTTAATAAAATAGAAAAACTCATAAAATGAAATGAGAAAAAGAAAAAATTCAAAATAACATTTGACAAATTGAATGAGAGTATGACAAGTGACAAAAACCGCCGAACGATTTACGAATAATTCGTTGAACGTTCGGTTTGTTTACAGCCTAAAAAAAATATATGATTAGTGTTATATTTTCTAAAGTTTCAATATTGTTACTTTATGAACCAAATAATATACGTATTATAATCTAGTTTTTAAAATGTAGTATCACCTTCAAATATAATCAATCATCATCATATCATACTATATTATAAAGGAAACATTTTTCATTTCACCACATTCATTTGAAACTCCTATGTATTTTTCCTTTCACCACATTCATTTGACACTCCCATGACTTTTCAATTTCTTTCTAATAATAATTATAAGTTGGTTAATAAGGTTAAATAAATATCAAACCTAAAGTGTATTCACATATAAACTAAATTTCAATATTAAAATAATATATTTACTTCTACTTATTAAGTGATTTTTTTTAACTTTTAACATATTATATTTAATTTATTAGTTTTAATATATTGTTCGATGTAAACCATTATCATTTTAAAGATATAATTTTGGAACAATTTGTATAAAATACTTAAACTCTTAATTTGAATATAACATTACATGGTCAACTAAAATATAATTTTTAGTTTAATTTAAACAACCCAAAAAATATTTTGTAAATGGTTAAAAGTGATTAATTGTAGTGTTTTTCTAATAATGATTATAAGTTGGTTGATAAGGTTAAATAAATATCAAACCTAAAGTGTAATAATAAATATACTAAATTACAATTTTAAAATAATATCTTTACTTCTACTTATAAAGTTATGTCTTTAACTTTTAACATATTATATTTAATTTATTAGATTTAATATGTTGTTATATATAAACCATTATCAGTTTAAAGCTACAACTTTTGAACAGTTTTGACAAAATACTTAAATTGTTATTTTAAATATAACATTACAATGTCAACATAAACATAAATTTCAGTTCCACTTAAAAAACCAAAAAATATTTTGTAAATAGTTAAAAGTGATAAATTTTACTGATAAATGCAAAAACTAAATTGTAATATCAATTTAACTAAATTATTTCCTAAAGATATTTTTATAATCGTCAAAAGTTTTCAAATAAGTAGTTTAAAATAACTTAGAATAACAATAGTTAAAAATAACTCTATATAAATGATTATATTTTACCATTAAATCAAAAAACAATGTTTGATGTTTTAAATAATTATAACGATAAAAATTAGAGCATTAAGCAAATAAATTTTAAAAAATTAATTAATAATAACAACAACTATATATAACATTAAACCATATTGAGAATATGCAGTTATAATAAATGTATATATTATCATATAATTCAAAATAATCAATACATTATATCAATTTAGTATACGAATTATTATATCAAATTTAATAACAACGTTATTGCTATATTAAAAAAAACATATATTTGGAAAGAATTCAACTATATAAATGTTTCTGTGCAACGCACAGACATTCGTCTAGATAAAAAACTAATCTTACCCACTTTGAAAAAAAGTAATTGCATTTAAATAAAATTTCCACAAAGCAATTATTCGTGGCCGAATTTCCCGCGTGCTAGAAGGTTTATACACGTGTCAAGGATGCCAGGTCAGCAATCCGTGTGAAACCACTTCAACCAATCAAATAATCCTGAAATTCCTATATAAACCAAACCCACAAATCCCTCGCTCCCCACTCGTACCCTCTCTGATTCGTTTTCTTTTCCATTCATCAGAACTTCATCGATCGCTCTACTTTGATTGTAACTAATGGCACCGACGAAGGCTGAGAAAAAACCAGCGGAGAAGAAGCCATCGACGGCAGACAAAAAGCCAGCGAAGGCGGAGAAGAAGCTTCCCAAAGAAGGCGTATCCAGCGGCGGCGTAGATAAGAAAAAGAAGAAGATCAAGAAGAGCAGCGAGACTTACAAGATATATCTCTTCAAAGTTTTGAAGCAAGTTCATCCTGATATTGGAATTTCAGGCAAAGCGATGGGAATTATGAACAGTTTCATCAACGATATATTTGAAAAGCTCGCTCAGGAATCATCTCGTCTCGCTCGATACAACAAGAAGCCAACGATCACTTCACGCGAGATCCAGACGGCGGTTAGACTTGTGTTGCCCGGTGAATTGGCGAAACACGCCGTTTCTGAAGGTACCAAGGCCGTTACCAAATTTACCAGTTCTTAGATCGCAACAGTATTGATCAAAACGGAAATATGCGATTTGATCGGTTCCTATTTGAACTCTTCAACGTTTTTTGTTCTTATTTTCGAGATCTGGATCTATTATAGTTCTCCGATATACATTGTTTTTTGATAACCGTTATTCTTATGTTCGTATTAGTGGTGTCCCGAATCTCAATTTCAGATTTTACCATGATCCGATTCAAATTAGGGTCTTATGATGGCCAATTTTACAAAATAGAGCGCTTAATTCATATAGTTCTTTTATCATCTTTGCATTTGCAAGTGGCAAACAGATGCTTCATCGTTAAAATCAAAAGTCGAAAATAAGTACGTGATTATTGATTAGTGAGCGAACTTCAATTTCGCCAATTTTTTGAATGCGTAAACAGAACAATCTTGTAGCGGTATATACAGCAATATCCGAAAACATGTTTTTGATATGCATATTCAATGTTAAGCATTGTCGATATGAAAGCTTAAGAATTTTTTGTTTAGTAGGACATAAAGTGCTTATCCATAATGCAAGATGTCTGTATACGAACTACTATTCAGATGTATTGCCATGATTCAATTTCTTCATTTAACGTCAGTGAGTTCAAAAATCAGTGAGTTCGAATATCAGGGAGTTCATAAATCAGTGAGTTTAAAAATCGATGAAACTTCTACTGGGTTTCTTAAATAATCATTTCTTTATTCGTTTTTTTTTTGTTTGCACTAAACATCATTTTTATATTTGCAAAGTGTTTAAAATTGTGAAGAAAATAATACTTCCAGTTTTGTAAAAATTGTCTCTTCGATCGTTCGTCAAAACATATAGATCGGAACTCTTTTGCAACTGATTGGTTTTGAGTTATTGGATCTAAATCTAGGGAATTTTTGGATTAGGAAGGATCATCTAATAGAAGTTCGGTTCAGAGGAGATCACTGTGGATATGATTGTTTTGAGAAGGTAATTGGGCCAATGTAAGTTTGAAATTGGATTATGGATTGATGTGGACATTTTTAATCATACATAAGAATCTATGCATTATATATCTGTATTGTATAATTGTATTAAATATAATTTGTTGTCTATGACTAAAAAAATGTTGTGCATTTTCGCCCATTTCAAAGGGTCTAGGATATGAGTTCACCTTTTAGAAGTCTGGAAAGTCAACGTGATGGTTGATAATCCATGTTTTGAAAACCGGACTGGACCGGCCGGTTCGACCGGTTCAACCGGGAACCGGTTCCGGATCCAGTTCTTAAAGGCCAAAAAACCGGTAAAAACCGGTCCGGTTGAACCGGTAAAACCGGTCAGAACCGGAAATTTTAAAAAATATTTATTTTTTTATTTTTTTTATATAATTAAATATAATTATGACATCATCCGGTTTTTCCGGTTTTTAAGACCGGTCCTACCGGTTGAACCGCTTAAACCATCGAACCCGGTTGAACCGCTTAAACCATCGAACCAGTAAGACGACTGGTTCGGTCTCCGGTCCGGTTTTCAAAACCTTGTTGATAATTCAATCATGGAGCTCTTAAAAGTCATGTCACTAGGGATTTTGAGTTTATGGATCTTATTTAAAACTAGAAACCTGTTTATAACATGTCAGGTCCCCAAATTAGAAGGTAGAAGTGGAGTTAATTCCTCTAGAATGCAAAAAAAATAATATAAGAGACTTTTTAAACCAAAACATGTTAGTTAGTAAGGCCTCAATGATATTTTTTCTTTTCAAATCTTTGAAGTTTATTAAACCACACACCATGTTGATTATTAATATCATTTATCATTTGTTTTCTTAGAGCTATACAAAAATGAAAAGAAGGTCTCCACTTGAAACTTTATATAGAATATAACAAAATGACCATTTTTACAAATCGTTCAATGTGAATTTGCGTTTCATCTTGGTATAAGTCAGCTCCATTATTGGATGGTATTCAGATACTTATTCATGGGTTTCTTCATTAATTGATGATTGATTGTGAGGAGACCTTTTAAATCTAGAAATATATGTTTGTGTTTTTTTTTCTTGTAATGCTCTTTGTTACAAATGGCATTGTAAATAAACCTCACTTATCAACTCCTAGGCTTTTAAGAGGGAAAATGTCATTGTAGCACAATAAATTTAGATGTTTGGTATGATTTGACCATTGATGTTTTTTTATCAGCAATAGGCCATCTAACTTATAATATTCTTGTCAATTAAGTCGTTGTGCCGATTTTAAAAGGTTTAACCATTACTTATCTTACCTTGCATCCGACGTGTCTTATCTTACCTGGCATCTAACGTGTAGGGAAGAAGATAGGAAGTTCCCACGTTGACTACACGTGGACTTCTATGTCAATGATCCTCTATTTAAAAAAAAGTTAGAAGGCTCAATTGGACCACACACTTTCTTTGTTTCCATTATCGGTGAAGCTCGCTAAGCTACCAAATCTATCAACCGCGTCTTCCTCCTCGATCTCCTCATCCAGAAACCCATTATTTTATCTCTCAAACTTCAAAGTTAAATGTTGTAAAATTGTGTGTGTAGTTATGTTATTTTGGTGTTTTTATTTTATAAAAGAGATGTTATAAATTCTATAAGAATATAAGTTAAAACTTGTGTGTATTCTGTCAGAATTTATTTATATAAATGTATTATGTAAGAATGTCTTTAAGAATGTTTTGTTAACAAGTATATTTGTTTAATTGGTAATAATAACGAGTAATGCATGTTATTTTTCAGAATGTCTTCAAGAAGGAATCAAATATTGATCATACAAGAGAAAGACTTGGAATGAAGTCCAATACGATAATACATCACATTTTCGTTAGAATAGTTGGAATCAAGTCGATTATTTAGACCATTGAAGAAGATCAAGTGCATTTGTTCAATAACTGATATTTAAGAATGCAATTTTGTAAGAATTTTATTCATTTTTTATGACATTCTGTTAGAATATGTGTAATTATATTAAAATGTATAAGATTGTTATTCTGTAAAAATATGTATTAATTTGTATTTAAGTTCGGATGTATAGGAATAGATATAAGAATGTTGTTATTATTCAACTGAGGTTTAAAAAAAAATGATTCTTTAATAATATTCTAATAGAATACCATTATGACAGAATCACAGAACATCATTCTAACAAAATAACATTATCATAGAATAAATCGGTTTATGCTTACAAATTACGTTTGAAATTGAATTAATTAAAAAAAATCAGATTTTTTAAATCAAGAACATTAATTATCCCCTAAATCTCGAATTTTCCTTTTTTAAATGTGTCTTAATTGACTAAAATACCTTTATAATGAATTTAGATGGTATTTTTGTGCTATCTTTCATTTAATAATATTTATTAATCACTTACTTAAAATAACTAAAATGATTGGTCCACAATCAACCATACATGCACACAACACTTATAAAAACACAATAACCTAACCCTTGAGTGTATTATATGTATTGTATTTGTTTTGTGTGGTCCAAACTGTATTTGTCAAATGTGGACCATCATCACACACTTCCTAACAACATTGTCTATATTAATCATTAAAATATACAAAAAAGGAGCATATTGTTCATTATCATTAATGCAACATGTAAATTGACATTGTAGTTGAAAAGAAAGCAACAAAATTTCTTATGCTTCAAACTTTCATAAATGGCAACCAACTTGTATAAATAGTAACAAACTTTCATAAATTGAAACAAACTTTCATAAATTGTATACAAATTTCATAAATAACAACAAACTTTCAAAAATTTCATACTACTATCATAAATAGCAACAAAGTTTCATAAATTGCATAAAACTTTCATAAATAGCAACAAAAATTCATAAATTGCAAACAACTATCATAAATAGCAACAACCTTTCATAAATTGCATACAACTTTCATAAATAACAACAAACTTTTGTAAATTGCATACAACTATCATAAATAGCAACAAACTTTCATAAATTGCAAACAACTTTCATAAATAACAATAACCTTTCATAAATTGCATTCAAGTTTCTTAAATAGCAACAAACTTTCATAAATGACAACAATCTTTCATAAATTCCACCATCACAAACAACCCATCATCAAGGTTCTGTTGTGTCATTTCTGCAACTACCTCGGTTCTTGAAGTCAATCGTAATCAATGATACCTCTATCGTAAGCAATTGAAAAACCATAACTGTTGACTCACGTTTACTTCCTGCACGTGGAAAGAGTTGGGTTAATCATTTAAATGAAGTGGATTAATTTGACACCTCATTTGTCGGGTTTTATTACAACTATATACACTATATCTACACAACAAAATATTCAAAACAATCCTTATGTGTACATGCAACCTAGGATCTAGATTTTACTAGTTATAGCTACATACTTTTAAATTAAACAAAAGATAAACTTACTAACCTCTTGATATCTTGATTGTGACCTTGTAACACCCCAAAAATCAAGACCAAAGAATTTATTTAAATTATAATAAAATCATCATCCCAAAAATAATTTATAAAACCATACAAGAAAATCAGAGTATGTTAAACGACCAATCCAATACATTAGAGTTATACAAAGTGGAAATCATAGTGTGTGTGTAATGCGGTCATCTCGAGATCTTCCCCTTCGAACTAGAAGTACATGGAACATAAACTGAACACCGTAAAACGAAGCTTAGTGAGTTCCCTAAAACACCACATACCATACATATCAAACATATATTGGGCCTCGCCCGACATCGGGCCCCGATCAGAACAGATCTGTTAGTAATATGAGATGGGCCCCGCCTCATCGCATTCATCAGGCCCTGCCCGGTATACATACAAACACATAAACACATGCAAGAATCACAAAGATAAATAACATACAATACATGTAAAAGTCACGCCGACAAACGGCATCCTAATCATAATAACCATGAGCCGAGATTGGTGCCTTAGACCCGCCTAACACAGTGAGGAAACTCACCTCAAGATGCTGAATATCTCAGATAAAAGCTCGGACTGCTGATCCGGAAAATCCTTGTGCTAGCATCATCAAATGATACCCAATTAATAATTGGTCCACATCCTATAGCTGGAATCCTAGTCCAATTGTCCAACACTTAGGGTAAAAGTCCATTCTACCCTTCCCTCACTTGGCCCAAAATCCGAGGCCCAATCCACTAGAACCAAAAAGCCTAATATGGCCCAACTTCCTAAATGGACTCCAAAACCCATCATGGGCCTAAATCCAAGAAGTACCAAAGCCTAACAATGGCCCAAAGTCAGAAGACTAATGGCCCAATAAGGCCCAAAACCCCTCTAGTCCAAATGTGGCCCAAACCGTGAAAGTCAACACAAGTCAACGGCAACTGAGTACGCCCTGCGTACTCAGGCTTACGCCCTGCGTTCTACTAAGCGTGCATGGTCGGGGATCGGGCAGCGTACGTGCAACGTACACATATGTACGTGTAACGTCCACATACGTACACCCAGGGTACGTGCCCATTAGGCAGTTTTCCCATTAAGTGCTTAATACTTGCAACCAAAAGCCCAAACTTCAATTCCAAGTCTTATTAAACGTCTTACTCCGTAAATTTATGAACTTGGAGCCTTTGCATGGCTCAAAAGGACCCAAACCTCACTTTTAGCATTCTACTCTCATCATAATGACCTAAACACTTGCATGGTTGATCCACAACCATTAAGATGCTAACTTTCTGGACTAAGGGACTCAAAAACATCAAGAGAAGCAACTCCTAACTTTTGGAGTGGAAGGAATCCACTAGATCTTATAATATGACGAAAATGGGACCAAAACTTTATAAAACTAGGTCTAAGCAAACAAGGAGCAAGTTCCAAGCTTTATACCTCAATGAAACTGGAAACGATGAGAGAAATCTTGATCTACAACTCTCATTTGGACAAAGCTCCTTGTTCCATGCT